AAAAATTCTTCAAAATCTTTTTTGCTAATGGTTGACATGAGGTGGTGGATTAGCATGGCTCTCTCCCATGCTGTGCTTTCTTCTGCGACAGAGCACTTTCACTGTTCACTGACCCCTCAAATCTAATCCAGCTACAGTAACACTGCTAAAAAACTGACCATATTGAAGTAGTCAGCTTTGTGTATCTGTAAACCAGAGTGCGACAGCCAATTTTTTCTCACCTCATTCAATAAAGCAATAAAGAAGTTCCATTGTTTTATTTATTTTTCACACATGCACACTTTTCTTCTTATGTAATGACTTTATGGACAGAAATTTAATTTTTAACCAGTTTAAAGGGAACAATAGTGTTGTCACTCCAATTGTATGTGAGAAATACTCTATTAAATTAAATTCTGAATTTTTTCAATTTCACAATTTCCCTATTTTCAAGTTATAAAAACATGTCCCAGTATTCCCTATTCACCTTTATGATTAAAAGCTTAAATCCTGAGCTATGCTATCCTGGCTATTCTAATTATTTGTAAAATGTTGCTTAATTTCCATTCAATCGATCAAAAATTGACTGCTTTTCTCAAAATCTTGTGCATGTTCTAAAGAATCATGAAATTTTAAAAGTATAAACCCAAGTTTAAAAAAAAAATATATATATATATATATATATATATATATATATATATATATATATATATATATATATATATATATATATATATATATATATATATATATGTTAGGGAAACTCCTAACATTTTTTTTTTTCATTTGAGAATACATAAAATAAGTTACACAAAAGATATAGAAAAGGAAAATAATGCTACTTTTAAGAAAAAAAAAAATGAAATGCAAATTAACCGAGCATTAACAGAATATGTTGTTTCGGTGACTCTTTTATATATACAATAGCCAGGCGATTTAAAGTTGCCAATCTCTCAAAAAAAAGACCAGTCCAGTTAAGTTTACTGCACGTCACATAAGGCAGGATGTGAAAAAGGGGTTTAGTATGTGTGGCTGCTTTCCAGTTCTAAATACAGCAAAATACATGCCCCAGGCAGTTTTACACTAAATCATAGCAGTTTTAAACCAAATCATAGTGCAATTCTGTTCTCATAAGAAGATTAATACCACTTGTCCTGTGATGTGACCAACTGGATTTGGTGTGTATTTTTCGCCACTAAACCAGGTGCTCTTTGTTTGAATTTAAGAGATATTTGTTGTAAAAACATTTTTTCATTGAGTATTTTTTATATGACAACATTAACTGTTTGACATTGTTTTTTTTACAGAGGAAAGTCAAAATAGCAAAGGATAGGACATTAGTTATATTGTCCTTTTGAATGCTGATAAACATATTTCGTTAGAGAAGCCAGTCATATCCCAACACACTCAAATTTGAATAAACATTTAAAGTTACAAACTGTGCATTTTAGGCAAAATTAAAAAAGTCCAAAAATGGTTAGCTTAAATGCTCTACTGTCAGTCTTAGTAATATGTCACAATATAATTAATGGCAATTTTCTTTTCAAAATATTCCAACCATTTCATGCATTTAGTTTTCTTGGCTACTCAAGACGGCTTTCACTCACAATCATATATTGTCACTTGAATTAGCAATTTCATTACATATTAAATTTGTTTATATTACTGTCACGTTTCAGGACAGTGCTGGCAGGACTAGAATCTGCAGTGGCTGCTCAGGCAAGAGAGATTGTGATGTTGAGAACTAAGGTGATCGCTCTGGAGAACCTTCGCGGGGAGAATAAAGACAGTTTGGAAGAACTGACCAAGCAGTCGGCCAACCAGGGCTGGGGAATCATGGACCTTAAAAACCAACAGACATACCTCTTTGGAAACCTGACAACGATACGCGATAGAGTTGACAACATGGCACAGGAAGTGCAGTCCAACAACACCCAAACTGCACATAGGATTAATAAAAGGTTGAGTTTGTTGGAGAAAGACATGAGAGATCTCAGAACTGGGGTTATAAAGGATAAAACTGTCCTTAAACAGCTTCAGACTGGACTGCAAAGTTTTATATATGAAACAGAAGAAAAAGAAGACGATAAAACTACGACTGTTGTAACCTCATCATCACTGCCACCTACAACAACAACAACAGCATCAACTACATTACCATCTTCAACTTCGTCATCATCCAACAACCCTTCATTCCCCTACTCTGTATATAAACCGTCTTTCTCAGGCAGCGATAGGTTAAATGTGATAGCAAATGTGAGGTATGCACCTGAGGAAGAAGGGTCAGGAGACATTTCTCCTCTGGATGCCATTTTGTCAAAATTGGAAGAAAAAGAAAATACAATAGACAACAAAATTCACCACCTCACCCAATATGAGAGAACAATAAAGGAGGAAGTTACAGGAATGCACAAACATGTACAGCAACAAGATAGCAGTCTATTAAAACTAGAGGACTTGATCAACAACGTTACACTACAGCTCACCAATGTAAAGAATAGTGTGGAAAATGACCAGAAGGTGGAAGCTGTCCAAGATGAGCTGAAGCAGTTGAAGGGAAAAGTCAATAATATCAGTCAACAGTGGCAATATAATAAGAAAGCCTTTGTTAATATTAGCGTGGAAAGTAAAAAGCAACTGGAGAATCTCCTCCAACTCATTCAGCAGAACAGTGAGGAGGGAGAATCCATGAAAACTCTCTTCACAGAGATGAATTACGAGAGCACACAGAAATACAACTACCTTCGCAGCCAAATAGACGTTGTTGGTTTTGACTTCAAAGAAATAAAACACAAGCTGCAATACATGAACAGTCAGGCCAGTAACGCCATATCTGAGATAGGAGAAGACTTCCACACACTTCGTAACCAGTACAACTCAATTCACGATCGCCTCGCTCATGTAGAGGTCAAAGTTCTCAACGCGTCTCTCATTTCATGTCAGAAATCCAATAGGGACTGGCTGCAGGAGTCAAAGCTGATAGAACTGGAGAGGGAGCTCTCAGAGACCAATAACAAAATAGAAGATGTTGAAGACAATGTGAAACGTGTTCAGAACAACCTGCAGCGTGTGTATAAGGAATTCTCTGCGAAGAGCACTGTAATTGATGAATTAGTGGTCCAAGCAGATAACATCACAAGTCAGCTTCCTATGTTGTTACATGTCCAGAAAGAGGTCAATAATTTTGTTATGGATTTACCCACTGGTAAGTTACTAAATAATAATAATAATAATAATAATAATAATAATAATAATACATGTAGTACATTAAATGTTCTGACAAAATATTCTAATGATTTTAATGCCAAAAAAGAATATGTTTCTGTTTTAACATGTCTAACAACTCAGTTTGATGATGTATATGCAAACCATGTACAAACATCTCAATAGTCGTTAATATCCCCTAAATTTAGATTTCTTGTGTCTTTTTAGACTGCCAGGAAAAGAACTACAATGGAAACCAGCTGACGGGTATTCACCTCATCAAACCTGTGAGGAGTCGTGAATCTCTACGTGTATTCTGTGAAATGGACAAAAATGGCGGATGGACATTCATCCAAAGACGCCTGGATGGATCTGTGGAGTTTGGTCGGCCATGGAAGGAATACAAGGCAGGGTTTGGGGATGAGCAAGGAGAATTCTGGATTGGAAATGAAAACTTGCACTTTTTAACGTCCCAAACTAATTATACTTTGCTTATAGAAATGTGGGATATATATAGTAATTACTGGTATGCCCAATATGACTACTTCAAAGTTGACAACGAGAGTAACAAATATGCCCTCCATGTTGGAGGTTACCATGGCAATGCATCAGACTCGCTGTCATACTCCAATAACATGGCGTTCAGCTCACTGGACAGAGACAATGATGCCAGCAGCACCCACTGCGCCAAGTTTTACACCTCTGGCTGGTGGTACAAACACTGTCACTATAGCAACCTTAACGGGAGATATAGCATAGGGATTGTATGGTTTAATCACGAGAGAGACGAGTGGATGGAAGTGAAAAGAGTGAACATGAAAGTCCGACCCTTACGGTCCTCAATATCTGGTGATGTTAGTTGATAATGGTATTGTGTCAGAACTTTATTTTTCATTTTGTCAGTATGAGTTTTTTGTCCATGATCTGTATTGAAAGAAGTGAAGCATAGACTGCCACAAAATTTGCCAATATTCTGTATGTTGAGGTCATTTTAGTGTATTACATAATGCATTATGTGCATCTTTTTATTTTGTCAAAGTCTTGTAGCTTAGATCTTGTTGTGTGAATGAATTAAGTGCCACATTTTTGCCAATACTTCTGTACATGAGTGACTTTGTAGTTAGATAGTTGTACCTTTGGAGCAGCTGTGAGTGTAGTAAACCACCCCTCTAATAATTTACACGGGCTAATGACACAGGTCATAATCCTTTAATTAAAGTGAAAATAACAAGTACTACTGTGAAAGTGAAAAGTGAAAATAACAAATACTATATATAAGTATATCAGTAAATGGTAACAAGATTGACTAGACAACTGCCGTCCGTTTATTACATTTCTATTAAATAAAATGTATGTATATATAGAAAGTGGGCATATTTTTTTTGATGGAAATGATAACTGTGATCTGAACACATGTGGGCAATGTGTCTTTACTGCCAATATTTCACGGAGTAACAACATGTCTTCTCATTTCATTAACTTCCTGTAAAACCAGCCACTTGGATGCTACTTCTAAAATATTACTGTCACTTCAATAGGCACAAACTACTACACCGCCTTCCTTATCACTTAAAAATCCTTTAAATAAAGGATCAAATGTCTTGAAGAGGAAAGGGGCATATATCAAAAGAGTGAAAACAATTTGTACAACTTTTTTTCTCAAATAAATCAACACCTATCTCTTTAAAGGAAAGGGAAGTGGGGAATTTGTTTTCAATATTCTGTAAACCATACCTCAAAAGGCACCCTGTCTCTTTAAAGAAAACATAAAGGGAAGTAGGGGTTTGGCTTTCAATCATGGGTTTATAATACCATACCTCAAAGGGCACAGCGTCAAAGAAGATGGGCAGAAACCAGTTGAGTGTGACGGTACTGATCTCTATGTCCAGCTCCTCCAGGTGCTGCCAAAGTTGGGGTAGCTTCTCTCTCAGGAACTCCTTCAGCACCTCCTGGTCTGCCTGAGCCCCCACCAAGTTGTGGTCAAAGTAGTTTGGACTGAAGTACTTCTCTGTGATGGCCACCAGGGTCCTAGAATTGAGAAAGGATGTTGAGTTCAAGTTTATGCCATTTTATTTTAGTCAAAGTGAGAATTGTCATTTTCCATATACTGGTATATCATGGACTACAATTCCAAACAAACATTTGCACACTCCACACAGTAATAAATACAAGGAATGGTATTGTTCACCCTGGCAAAGTGCTATGATAATTGTCACTATATAATATTTCACTGAAGTTAAAACTCCACAAAATGCTTCTCTGTCAATGTTAACAATAACATACAACAATATAAAAGAAGTTTCCTTTGCAACAGGTGATAAAAAACGGCAATAACTATGCAGAGTTCATTTTTCTATCCAGAACTGTTTAAAACGTACCAGAAAGCATCTTCGGCCTCCATAAACAGAAGAGCCATCCCAACAATGAAATTCATCCCCTGGCAATACCCTAGCTGAGGATTGTGGACGCAGAAGGCTTGGAGCACCTCCCGCATCTTCTTTATCTGAAAATATTACATAAAATGGGGTTTACTTCTGATTTCCATACAAAAAACATGATGTTTGTTCTAAAGATAAATCTGTTTGTACAGTTAATTTCAATAAAACTAACTTTGCAGGGTGAAAATTAACTTACTGAAAGGGTTTCTATACAAGCTGATAAATTAAAAGATATTAAAAGGTTGACCACACACAAAAATACATCTTTCTCATTGGGAAATAAAAATAATACCCATGTTAATCTTATATTCAGAAATAAGAAATAGTGTATGTAGAATGGTGTGCAAGTGACATACCCCATCTGATGTGGGACTGCTGAAGTGGATGTTGTTGGGCATTGTCCTCATTAAATCCAGAGATATTTGTCTCAGGTACCTGTTAGCATTCTGAAATATGACAATGGCCATACTATACATAACAGGGAACTATTAAGACAGTATTCAATATAATATAAACCAAAAAAAAAATGATGACAAAAGTCTGCATGTTGACAAGGAATACCAAAATACAATACATTGTTTAACTCCTAATATTTTATCATACTATTCCTACTTTCTGCTAACATCAATGATTTCTTACATTTTACACAAAGACAATTTTATGATGATTAACCATTTACTTTACAAACAAATCCAAAATCATTTGCTTTTTCAATGCCATGAACTTCATTCCTGTATCCATGCACAGTGCATACGTGCAGGCATACCTGAATTGTGTGTGTGTGTGTGTGTGTGCGTGCGTGCGTGCATGCGTGCGTGCTTGCATGCATGTTCATACTGACCACAGAATCTGGCATCATATTACAGACATTCTGGTAATAATGGGGTCCCTTGGTCTTGACCAGGTCTTGCACCTGGTTATATATTAGCTGAGTCCACACCTCGGCTCTGTGCTGGGGAGGAATACCTGCCCTACACAGGGTCTTCAACTCTTTCTGAAAACACATAGATGTACTATATATGAATGATCATTGACAGCCTTGTTCAATTTGATTTAGTAAAACTGAATTAAATTTGTACATTAAGCTTAACAGAGGGTTTTTAATTTTTCCATTTATGAATAATTTTAACAGGAGACAACTAATTATTCAGATTACAAGAAAGATTGATATATTTTGTTCAATTGTCTAATGCGTCAAACAAAAGTTTAATTAATAAAATATTGCTTAGCTGCAAAAATCCAGAGTTAACTTAATTGTGCCATACACCTTAATGTTATGACTGGTTAAAGGATGAGACTTATCCCAACAACAAATGGAATTCTAACACAATGCTTTTTCGACACAACCAAGCACATCTACCACATTCAAACTGTCCCACTCACAGTTTTGGTCAGGCTGTGTCTGTGCAGCTTAAGGTAGTCTCTCCAGGCCTGCTGGTGCTGTTCATAAGACTGTAACTGGTGGCAGTAGTGCTGGTACAGCTGCGTGCACACAAAGTGCTGGATGAGACTGTCGTTTTCTGGTCTCTGCTTAAAACCGTAGCTGTCTATGTGGGCCTCGCCTTCTTGGAGCCTGGGGGATTACAGGGGGATTACAATGTTAGTTGACATACAGTTAACAGTGTGGATAAAAGTTTGCTAGTTCACGTATGATCACAGTGTTAATTGTGTGGATAACACTGTGTTAGTGCTGATATACAGTTATAGAGTTAACTGGGTAACATTGTGTTGGCATACAATCACAGAGCTTAGTTTGTGGATCACATTGTATTATTTTATATAGCATTCCCATAGCTGAGTTGAGGTTAAGCCTATATAGATGTGTTAATTACCCTGCTAGTTAGATAACATGCTTTGGCAAAGGCTTTTTACATTGTGTTAGCGGAGACACAATCCCAGAGTTAGCTGTGTTGATAACATTGTGTTAGTTGAGATAAGGTCTCAAGAACTGTGTTAATTAGATTGGGTTTGTTGAGATACAGTCCCCAGAGTTGTGTTTTTTTAACATTGTGCTATAGGGCTGTATTGAGATGCTAACCCTAAAACTAAATGTGTAAATTGGATTGACTTGAGATACGGACCTGGGAGCTATGAAAAGTTGAGACATGTGTCATCCACAGCTGTAGGAGATAAACTGAGGGAGATCAACTAGTGGAGATTAACTATCTACAGCTAATAATGTTATAAAGATATCAGAAGTGCTGTCAGCAAAGTTGGGCCAATCTATCTTGAAGAAACCCATCCGCAGTACTGCAGCCACTTTTGTCTCACTTTATTCAATATAGAGGGCAGTGTGCCAATGCCGGGCCCACCATAGACAGCAAGACTACTCCTTCCACTGTCACTGTAATTGAAGTTGTGTTAATATATGAAGCATTCTGAAGCATTCTGGACCCAGGCTGAGAAATGTGTGTGTGGGCCTGCGTGCGTGTGTGTGTGTGAGTGTGTGTGTTTGAGTGCATGCTTGAGTGTATGTGTGAGATAGAGAGAGAGGGGAAAAAAGCTAAAAAGATTATGAGATGAAAGCAAGTGCCACTTTCATAAAATGTTTGATAACTAACTCTACCTGTCATAAGAGGGCAGACTGGGATTAGATTTATGTGCCTCATCCAGCAACTGCCTCAGTCTCACTTGATGCTGGTTAAAAAACAAAACAGAGTGATAAAAATATAAATGAAATATCTATAAAACAAAAAATTGACACAATGGTGATCACTGAACATCACAAATAGTGTTAAAAAGGGTCCTAGATGTGTGGAATGCTGAAATTATTTAGGGTGTTCCATGAAGCACCCCATTTCCATGCCTCATAAATGTGGCTTTTTATTCTGTGTCCTTCGTAAAACAAAGTCTTTATACTTGGGGATTCTTGATTTACAATTCACAAGACTCACATTTTCAATGAGATATGACTAAAGTTTTGCTTGATGTGATTTGTGATTTAAGGGCTTTATTTCCCGTGAACTGTGATCATTACCCCCCCCCCCATGGGACCCCCTTAAAATATGAGAGATTTCCAATATATCATTTTTATCAATGATAATAACTAATTCACCCTGTCTCCTCCATACAGTTTTACTTCATATTCCTCCACCAAGTCCCCGTCAGGCATCCTAATGGTAGACTGGAGCACAAACAAATAGTCCCTCTTCCATTGGTCTATCTCTGCCTCAAGGCAGTGGATTTTTCTGAAGGATCAGAAAATAAGGAAAATATATTAAATTATGTAAAAAAATACAATAAAGATTACAAAATAAATTGACAAAAAAATTTAGACAAATTTAGATATTTTACATAATGCATACCATGTGATAACATATGTTACTGATCCATAAATTTCTGGAAATCAAATGCTGCCCACCATTCATTTAAGACCATTTTCCTGAAAGGCCCCCCTCTCTAGTGTTCTGTTTAACAAAAAAATTAAGAACAATTTGTCACTTACTTCTCCTGGTCCTGAAATTTCTCCCTCTCAAGCTGCCTGAGGTTCCCCAGTTTTTTTACCTCCTCGTTCAGAAACCGGTTCTGGTTCTGCAGCACCCTTGTCTTCTCCTGGAGCTTGGCATCAGGCTTAGAACTGCAGATAAAGAGGAAGCATGCTGTTAACAACTTTTGGTATGAGCTCAGAAGTGTGACGGGGTTTTTTAATATCTCTTGCTTAATGACAGAAAAAAAGAGATAAGAGCCAGTCATGCGATCCAGGCAGTTTGATGCAGGTATGATAAAACCTTATATGTAGAAAAACATGTCTGGTTAATTTTTCAATGATTTATATTTTTCGAACATTCAATACAGTTCATATATTTTACTGCCTTCTAAGGTACAGTTATTGCCATATAATGACTTCCCATTTTTCAAAAAATACAGGTTCATATAAAGTGCCTTAATTTTATGTGCAAACATATCTCTAAACTGATTTGAATTTTCCTCTCTCTACAGGTGGGAAAATCCATTATTTGTTCATCTTTGAAAACATAAAATCTAACAGTCAACTTAATAGTATCTCCTTTTATAAATTAATGTCTGCAATGTATCCCTTTCTACTTCCTCACAACAATTAAAATTTTTGACCTCTAAAAGATTTACCTCTTCCCTTTCTCATTGTCAGCAGTCACCTCTTGCACAACTTCCAGTCTGGCAGCGTCTTTCCTCTCCAGTGCCTCCCTCAGCTTGCTCTCCTGGTTTAAGGAACAGGCAAGCTCTGCCTTGACCTTCCTGTTATACAATGCATATTGTTAATCTGTGACTTTAAGATACTGCAAGGATTATTCCAACATTTAAAAATTGCAAAACAGAAATATATAAATCATGTTCAAAGGTTGTAATATAAAAATGGTGTTAAGACTTGTTTTCATTCCATGAATTAACCCAATATAAAGTATTCACAGTTCTTTTGTTAAATAAAATCAATACCCCAGTTGTTAAACTGAATCACAAAGACATAAAGGTACCTACATCAGCTCTCTCTCCAGCTCCGTCACTCTTCTGTCTGAGTCAATGGCAGAGTCGCTGGAACCACTGGCACTGAAATATTCACTGGTAGAGTTAATTCCATCAGGTAGTGTATAAATATGTTGACAACTTATGACCAGACCACTATATAACTCCTTTTCAATTGTGACTTTTGTTTATTCAACATAAAACTCAGTTTTACAAGGCAAATTATTCCAGATGTACAGCTTAATTATGTATACATTGGCTAAATAAATCTTTATATTATCTTTATCTCTTATTTTCAGGCCAGCTTTAAATACACTGTGCACCTGTATGCAAAATACAGTTTTTAGAGATGTCCAAAAATATATATCAAAAGACAGAAATCAGATCCATTCTAAAAATAATATTTCACACAAAGAATGCTATCTGTTAAATGTTGCCATATTGAAAAATGATAATGCAAAAAAATAAAACTTTGACAACTCAACAAAAATCAAAGTGTTTACTACTGCCTATACCTTCTCTCACTCCCTTGCCTATGCCTGCCCTCTCTAGCTATCCCAGCATCCTCCGTGTGCAGAAAAGCATCGTCACTCTCCCCACTGGCTCCGCTGCTCCATTTTCTAGAAGCAGACGATGCTGAAGAAGTCAGCTGAAACGATGGTGCAGTCAAACTGTGTGCATCTGGGGACAACAATGGTGGCACTGAAACAAATAAAAATTATTTCTATAAGCTGAACAGTAATAATTAATTTCAGAAGAGTGGCCATGAAATATTTCTGCATGGCTTAATTTTTTTTTTTTTTTTGCATATTTTCCTCAAGCTTAACAAATCAATCACATATAGAACTTCATGCTGCAACTTGTATATTCATGTGCAATAATTCAGTTGTACACTGTGTTGAGGCATAATGTCAGCCAGCTGTAGACTGTCTTGTAAACAGAGACATCTACATCAGAGACCAAAAAGAGACCATAGATCTTCTCTTGTTTTATGCTGGTAGATTGAAATGCAGCCCACTGTAAGTGCATATCCAATCTTAAAACATTACTAAGGAAGTGAAGATGAGGGCTTCAGCAATTACCTAGTAATGCATAGTAGCATATGGGTACTAATCTGAGTGCTTTTTCTCTTATACCAGCTTTATAATAGTTCATCTGTAATGGTATTAAAATCTGAAGTGCTTGTTAGCATATAACACTCACTTGAGGATAAAAATTATGAAATGGGATGAAAAAAATTAGAAACACTAGCCTGAGACATGTTTGTCAATGCGATGTCAAATTGTATATGCATAAATTTAGTGGTGGTTTTACTGTATAGAATAATTTAGCCATAAAGTACCCTGCTTTTTGATCTTTGCCACCACTAAATAGCAATGTTCTACTTTGAAGAATTTATGACTTTTAAAAAATACAGTATCCATATCCAATTTTCAAAAAAAAAAAAAAAAAGACTGAGTTATTACCATAAACTCTGTCATCTCAGGTGTCAGATATCTACTAGTAAAAACTCAAACAATGTGACAAAAATTACTTGGAGACAAAGGTATGCCTTTACCCACCTGCAAACTGGCGTTCCTCTCCATATCCTGTGTCTATGGTACCAAACCTCTGGAACCTCAGGCGGAACACATCTCTTCTTTCCCTCATGGAGGAACACCTCACAACAGAGGAGTGAGTCGTCTCCATGTCATTCACCAAAGACTTGCTTTCTGAGAGACTCTGCAATAATAAAGTGTGTATAAAACAAGCTGCACGTTCTCTGCAATAATAAAGTGTGTATAAAATAAGCTGCACATTCTCTGCAATAATAAAGTGTGTATAAAACAAGCTGCACGTTACATGTATACATGTAGCTGCAACTTCTGATAAGGCTGCTGATATGGTTCGACATAAAAAACAGTTTGGTCGAGCTGAAGTCTTCTAGAAAACCAAACACAAAAAATTAAAACCTCAACTAGTACGCCAACAATTAACTAATTGAATTCGATTGCAAATCTTCCACTGTCTATTTTTGTTGACTGAATTGCCAGATTGTTTTAAAGAACTTCTTGTATTTGGTAATCAATGCGTCCCACACTGGTCTGAATATCTGGATGACAATGAAGCAAAGAATGCACATGCACCCACAAACATGTGTCTCTCTACTCCAAACACACGTATTTAGGCGTACATTCAGCACACCAGGTATATATCCAATTATGCGTAAGCTTTTTACACTGCCACCATCCAGGCACTTGTAATACTACATAACAACACCATGAATTATATATCTATGCCAGGTACTATATATCCACAACATTATGACACATCACTAGATTGTGTAGTGTATATAGAGATTGACTGTGCATATAACAAACCACACAGCAAGTAGTATGTTCACATTAAGGAGTTGAGAAAACCATCATGATCATTTCTGCTTATCAAGGTGGAAGACATATCAACCATCACAGAAACTTATGCATTTATTATATTGAAACATCATCATAACAGAGAATGTGTAACTCATAGCTGCTATATAAATAGCGCACACAGTTACTTCCCTTTTCCCTGCCAAATACATACCACACCCTGTCCCTTATCCTTACTCTGCCAAGTGCATACAACACCCTGTCTCTTATCCTTACCCTGCAAAATGCATACCACACCCTGTTCCTTATCCTTACCCTGCAAAATGCATACCACACCCTGTTCCTTATCCTTACCCTGCAAAATACATACCACACCTTGTTCCTTATCCTTACCCTGCAAAATACATACCACACCTTGTTTCTTACCCTTTCTCTGCCACATGCTTCCCCATCACTGACGCTGTCAGAGCTGGACTCTCGAAGCGCTCTCTTCACATAACTGTCTCTCTTGGCCTAAAATAACACAGGTTACAGAAACGTATGATGACATCAACCATCATGATAGTATATTAACATTTTGATGGTTATACAAAATATTTATATTCCATTATTTCCCTCAACCCCCTCCCCAAGGTGAAATCAGTTGAATAATTAGTCTAGTTACTGGACCAATATTGACAGTATGCTTAAATAAGTCAGCTTGATAAGACCATTTTCTCTAATTCAGGCTGTACTACATAAATATGCTGGCCTTCATTTGCTAGCAATATACTTGTAGGCCTGTATGGGATGATGTGAATCAGTAAAGGTCTACTGTGTGCTCCAGATACTATTCAGTCACACATGATCAGAACCTTGTCACGAGTGTTCACTGATGCATAGACGACCTTGACAAATAATTAACTTTTCTTGCTTTACCTTTCATCAGAGCCATTAAAACACCATTTTCATCTTTAATTCATTTCATTTGTAATTACTTATTCCAAGGCCATGTCTGTTTCTAGAGACATTGCTCTTTTGTAACATTAAATGCTCTTTTGTTTAAAACCTAAAGCTTAAATATTCCAATATAAAACCTGCATCCATCTATGGTCTTTTTTTTATCTATCATCAAAATTATTCTGCATCTTTTTGCATTCTAAGTTAACTGGATCAGAGAAAATATTTATTTGTGCACTCTCTATTGTTTTTTTACAACATATCTCTGATACAAAGTTTAGGCTTGATTGTGAACACTTTACACTCATTCCCTGCAGTGGAAGCATTTCATCATATATATAAATTATAATTGTTTTGACTTGACTCAATGAAATTTCTGAAAAAGACTTTTTTCAAGATCACAGAATACTCTAGCTATGATGTACATAAAAATATAGAAGATCTGAAAACCTTCACTCAGTTCAAGTTTTTGTTTGACGCCTTTTGTGATAACACCTGGTTATGTGCATGCTGGTTGTGCTGCATTAAGGCCATGAAAAATGTAGAGGGCAGCAGTGTGCTGTGGCCTCTAACTGGGTTCATAGCAACGGAACAGAATGTAAATGATATTGGAGTCCTAAGCTGCCATGAAAGATAGATTCCATAATGGTCTAAAATTTGGGTGGCAATCCTCATGTGGACAGTTAACCACATCAAGTCTCAGCATTAAGATATCTTATTTCCAGCCTGACTATAACTTTCAAGACATTTAATTTCAGGGGAGATGGACAATATTTGACTGTGCTTAACATTTTACAATCACACATCACAAAATGACCATAGTCATCACCAAGTCTTGCACCATTGTTTCCTTTGTCACATGGACACAAAAGGGCTGCCCAACCCAACTATCAAGTGACAATAGCCACCGATTCCCTTACAGGTATTGTGTCACGGGGTCAAAGACAGTTTACAGCAGCTTAATTGAAGGTGACAGGACAGTGTAAAGCCCACCTGAAGACCCAGCAGCCATATCATCATAGACTCATGGTTGTCAGCTGTAAGGTAGAACTCTTTGCCCTCAATGCTGAAAGAAAAATCAAACTAGAATTTATTTATGTACGTAATAAACAAAATATTGCTAATCTTCATAGTTTTTTTTTTTTTCAATTTTAATGGTATTTTAAAATATCACAATCTTGAAAATAAGAATATGTGCTCTTAGAAAGTAGCTCTCACTCTCCATTCTTCTATTACTAAAATGAGTTTTAATTTGTTGCTGTCAATTGGGCAAGCTCTAGGTGAAGATTACAGTTGAAAAAGATATCTATAATTCAAAAGCCTTTTAACATCACAGTAACTGTCTCTTCTTAATTCATATTTAAAGGTCTTTGCTAAAATCTGAACATACCTAACAATAAACTGATTATTCTGATCTAAACTCAGAGAGATGGTGGCATCTTTTATATCAACGCTATCAGTGGGTTTGCTCTTTTTTGCCTCGTTTGCATTTTTAAAGCACAGCAATTTTCCTTGGCTGTCATCAAAAACATACCAATAACGCTTCTTTGGCTTTATACGACCAAATGCTGTAAATGGAAAAAATATTTCAATTTTATAAGCACCATGAACCTAAACTAAAGTTTAACATCCTCAACACTTAATGTAACATACATAAAGGATTGCAAACTCTTTTTTATCTCATTACACTTTTCTGATCATTTTCTCAAAAATAAAAAAAAAAAAAAACATTTCTATCGAATAAAACCAAACAAACCTCCTCCTGGGCGATAATACAAATATCCCGAGAGACTATGCCACCCTGCCATCTAGTGACAGAATTCCATATGCTGCCATCTATGGTGTAAATGTAGGAAGGTACGTGTTGCCATCTGGTGAGTAAATGCTGTTCACACTGCTGCCATCTAAGGAGTAAATATATTATTCACTGAGCTGTTATTTTGATACCCAATTCCCTGTGACTTATGATGCCATTTGGGGATTACAGCTGCAATAACAACCATGCTGCCATCTACAGGGAAAACACATTGTTCTCTGCTGCCATCTGGTGGTTGGTCATAAAAGAATGTTAATACTCCTCTCTCATGAAAATGAATTATCTTCAATGCTGTGGATGAGTTGGTTTCCTTCGTTTTAAATAATCTTCAAGGTTCTATCTGAAATACAGACAATCATTTAAAAAAAGGTTACTACAAATAACACATTTCCTTACAAATGTTTAATATGTCTGACAACATCAGCTTTTCATGATAATTGATTTTGTAAAAGATCCTGGAAACATGAACAAAAAGACATTGGATAGTATTTTAGGCTTGCACAGTTCTGTTTAACCTACCTGTCCATGTTGCATGTTGAAAAAAAGAGAAAAAAAGAGACTTAAGTTCAGATGTTACAGAATCTATAGTTGAAATGCTCTTTGCAGTTTGCAAAATGTTAGAAGTCTTAGCATATTAAATTGACCACCTATATCCCAGGTAGGCTGCACCACAGGTAAACACAAAGTCCTCCAATGAAATCAGCATACCTTAAGCTTGCAAACCAAATGTTCAGACATCTAACAGACAACACATAAATAAATAAGGTCCTTAATCTTAATGTAAACACTTCTTAATCATGTCAGTCACCTCTAGAATGCCATTACATACTTCACTGTGATTCTTACTTCATATCTTATTGATATTCTTATATCCCTAATTGCCCTGTCATAATTAAGACCTTGGTATCACACATGCCTTCACTTACAGTATGTGTACATGTGAGTTTTATTCCTTATAACAGAGGTGTTTGTGCATGCATGCATGCATGATCGTGCGACAAATATTCAATCTTTCAATTTTTTGACAACAAAATATCAAAATATCATTGTTCTAACAGACTGTTATCAATTTTTCATGCTTTGTTTATCTAGAATTAGCAGTAAAGTGCAGCTACAATGCTGGTAGAGATATTCATATAGAAACAGTACCTGATGTTATCAGGCAACATGTGATTCCAGGTTCCACTTTCAATGAGCCACAAATACATTCAGAATATCCACATATTCACGTTGTGCAGAACTGCAGACACGATGAAACTATCGGTCCCACTATAGAATATTGAGTTTGGTGGTCATGCAAAACCCCCCAACAACTTAATTTGTTAGAGATATTATTACATCTCTGTTTTCAAGTGGGCCATACCCGGAATATCTCGTCTTCATATAAAAATGAAATTAACATGTAGGTAAAATTAAAAAAAAAAAAAAAAAAAGAAAAATTCAACATTTTTTATCTGGTGGTGGCGGTGGGGGGGGGGGGGGGGGGGGAGGTGAATGAGGTATAAGTTATGCTGATTACTGCTTTTCTTTGCTGGGTTCACCTGTCATTCCAAACAAGTGCTCACATATATCAGATTTCTAAGCTGTATCAACATAAAAGGGGACTAAAAACATTAATGCAAAACCCTCTAGTGATTAATAGTTAGTTAATGTTCTTTAATAGACTCTTGTATGTCAAAACTTGTGTAACCAATGTCTAACTCAAGTGGGGTACGAACTCCATCTCTTATCACAGGTGCGCCTTACCCAGGTGAATGTTACGGGATCAAGGTCACCAGGTAAAACGTAAACATGGGGTACTGGTGTTTCTACTTGTTGTATTTGGTTCTTGTTCACCAAAGTATCTGCCAAACTACCGACCCAACTAACGGTAGCTTTGAGAACCTGGCAAAACTAATAGATAAGTATGCAACAGAGGTTCTGGCTTGTAATGGGTCTGAAGTGGTCTCCCTCGCCCTTACCGTGGTCAAAAATGGTACAACAGTACTGGCCAAGTCGTATGGTTATGCAGACTATGTGAAGAAGATAAAGGCCACTGATGAGACCAAGTTCTGTATTGCGTCTTGCTCCAAGGCTTTCACAACAACTCTACTTGCAAAACTCTTAGATCGAAACAAAAGGTAAATATATATGCAAGTAAATTAATTACATGAAAAAATATACCTGGCCAATGCTAATGAACGACAACTTGATAAGATGCTTAAGATGAATATAACCAAAACTATACCTTGATAGGAGGGATAAATTTAAGTTTTTGTATTTGAACATTGACTGTGTTCAACACATGCTTTCCACTGACCTTACATACCCTTTACACTCTGTTCATGTTTGCTCACTGGACCTTTAAAAAGGTCTTTTCTCTTATCAAGTAGTAAAGGTCCTACAGCATTACCCAATGTCCACTGTATCTGTATCTGTATCCATTACATGTATATTTAGTGAGATTAAATGTATAAATATGAAATAAACCAATTCTTCAAGTTACACTTGTTCTCATGTACTGGTATCTCACAGACCAGTAAATTGTGTACTACATGTACTTCTTAATACTAGAGTACAAGTGATGTGCTTGATACCCATGCTAACCACAACTTAATGTCCACTCCAGCCATACATTTGACTCCAAGGTGAAGGACATCTTGCCAGACCTGTTGCTAGGTGACAACTACACCACATACCATGTCACCATACGAGACTTGGTGTCTCATCGGACGGGTATGAGCAGACACGACTTTGCCTGGGTACTAGGTGGACTTACCAGGGACACTTTCTTCAGGTGAGTAATAGTAATTATAAGTACAAAATCAAAACTGCTTAGCACTCAAATTTGTTCTTTTTTTTTTCAATTTGACATCAAAAACTGACATATTTTTCAATGATTATGGTACATAATTTTTACATGTTAGAGTTACATTTTACATCTTGCATTAGAAAGGCATCAAACACTGAATCAGCTGCGCAGTTGTACTATAAATGGAACAGCATATATAAGCTTGGTGCTTTGACATTTACTTTCAAGACATGAATGGCGTGATTGCACATACACTGTATATGAATTCAGTTATCCAAAGACAACATGTAATGCACTTTCATTTTTACTTTTAAGACATATACAATACATGAATGCCACATACGGCTTCCGCGACCAGGTCATCTACAACAACTGGATGTATGGAATAGCTAGCCGTGTGGCTGAGGCACTGGGAGGGAAACCATTCCAAGTGTTGCTGCAGGAAGAAATCCTGGACCCCCTGGATATGAAACGGACAACCCAAATCTATGACCTGAAGCCAGAGGGGAAGGACTATGCCAAGTTTTATTATGTGACTGATGAGGGACCCAAGGAGGTTGATGTCCAATTGTATAGGTAAAAACGAGAGAGAGAGAGAGAGAGAGAGAGAGAGAGAGAGAGAGAGAGAGAGAGCACAACTGCACTGCGACAGAGGGAGGGGAAAGGGAAAAGGGTGTCTGTAACATAACCATTGGAGATGAAACTAAAGAGAGGTTAGATGCAGGGGAGCAGCAGGCAGGGAAAAAACCCAAAGAAACCAAAAGACATGCATTTTTGACTAACTAGTCATCTCACTTAAGAAAGGGGCGGGCTTCACCTCACTAACCCATTGCCAGTTTGTTCACTCTGTTTCTACTGTCCTCCACTGAAGAATGATTAAATAAGCTATATTGTAATAATAAATATATAATTCATGTCTTCTGTTCCAGTACACTGCATGCCGTAGACGGAGCTGGTGGTTTGTGTTCCACACCCACCGATATGTCAAAGTGGTTAACATTTCACCTCAGCAATGGTGTCCTACCAAACGGCACTCAGCTTGTGAGCAACGTTTCTCTGGACAACACAAAGACATCAAGGAACATCTGGGGTGAAGTGGCCATTGAAGATGACCTTTATACCAGACCCAAAATTCCATTTACAGATGTACGAGACAGATACGCCATGGGGTGGTATGCTGGCTATTACAGAGGTAACATCCTACCAATGGATTCCTCCTTATAAAAAAATCAAAAATTAAAAAAATTATATAGAAAAGATCATTTAGTGGGCAAAATTTAATTATTAACTTTGCCTGTCACACATGGGTTCCATTCACACATAAGGTCCTACCATTCAACATATATGTTGTCAATTTATTTTTTCAGGTTACAGAACTATTTCTCATGCTGGCTCTCTGTATGGACAATTATCGCTGATAACTACCATTCCAGCTGAAAGTATTGCCATATATACCACAACATCTGGAAACCTGAAGACAAATCCGCAAAGAGCCATGAGTTTATACATTGCAGACATCTTGATGGGCCTTGAACCCTGGTTGAATGCAACCACTACTTGTACTTTTCCCTTTCCTTGGATTATCTCTTCTACCAATCAGACTTCAAGTCTGAAAAGACTGACAGAGCAGAGACCTCTAGTGGACTACACAGGAACTTTTGGCAACTATTTCTATGGGAACATAACAGTTGCCATGGGTACAATGGAAAACAGCACAGACAAAGTACTAAAATTTTTGTATGGGAGTTTGGGAAATTTTCCCCTTTTACCAACAGAAGACAAAGATGTGTTTAAGTTGTATGCTTCTCCAACCAATTTATTTTGGTTTCTTAACTACACATCGGAGGTTAAAGTGAACTTCAGTTCCTCAGAACCAAATCGGGACATAATGGACACAATGACAGTGTCTGGTATCGACACAAACACTACTGTCTTCCTACGAGATCTTAAACTACCACCTAGAACCAACACCAACTGTGGGAAAAATGGTGAAAACTGCTCCACAAGTGGCTCCTTTTCAATAGCTTATTTTGCAAAAGGAATAATAACCATATTTGCTGCTATTGCTCTAGGCATATAGTTGTTGGTAGCATACCACTGGTAACTTTAAATTTTAATAAAATCTTAAGGAAAACTGCTATATATGTAAGATACATCTATACATTTTAGGGTCAGTAATGCCTGAAAAGACACGAGTATGTAATGTTGTCTTAAAAGAAAGTTTGTTAATATGTTAGTCACTGTTCAAAAAATTATATGCTGATAAAACATAATGCTGTGGACAATCAATTGAAATTTGTGCCAAATTACACTAGACAGTACAGATCTGCAAAAGGTCAGTATCCTTAACTGTTGTGCAAAGCTCAACTAATATCGATCTGACAGAGCAAAACCTGACAGTTTATCTTAATCTGTGGGATCAGTGCTCCAAGGGCAGAGCGGCAAAGAAAGCGACAGTCCCACACTGTCAACTTCACAGACAGATAAGGCAACTTAAGCCTGACCTGGAAGATAGGGTGAGGTTGTTTTTCACACTTTTAACAGTTGTAGTTACGGTCCATTTGTGGCGTTTTAATTTGGTACATCTTGTTTTAGCCACACTTTTTGTTAAGGATTCCTTACCCAGCTCTACCCTCTTCCAAGAGAAGAGAGGATTTTCTCTAGATATTTAAGGATATCTCTCTTAATATTTAATAGCTGAACTCTGATCCTGTAATGAAATGTAAGGTCTGTACTTTAGTATACAGAGATAGTCACTATAACATTACTACACCAGGCACTCACATTCCCTCTGATTACAATCATGACAATAAATTAATATTTAAAACCTCTCTTGCTAACTGTACTGTAACAGACAAAAATAGACTCATAATTATTAGTAGCCTGTTATTTCTGAAGGTTAATTAAGGGATTCCCGTAGTACAGAAATTAAATTTGGTGCAAATTCTATCAAAAAACAAAATGCACCAACATTTGATAATAGATTTCAACCACTAGATGTCTCATGATGGCATTCCAAGATGAACTGATATCTCACTGGAAATTTTTTTGCTGTTACTTTGAATTTAAAGTTTAACAAACAGTTATGTTCAAAATCAAACACTTCCTTTTTTGTTTTGTCGCATTTCATTGTCAATAAACAGTCATTCACAACAAAAAAATGCTATTAACTGGCATGTGTTACCAGTAAGAATAATGTTCTGCACAAAGAGACGTCACCACCCAGGCAGTCTGTTGTAGAGAGTAACCCACCCCCAACCACTGCTGAGTATCATACAGTACATGATTAAAAACTCATAATCGCAAGATCAGTTGCGATGGTTAGTTTTAAGTTATAACTGTCACAACTTGAGTAGAAATGCACCTAGCTATTTAAGTTACACAAGCACAGTAACATTAGCCTCTGTGATGGCACTATACCGCAATGACATTCACAAAAACTAAGCACAGGTAGGTCAGCCTTTTTAGTGATGGAGATTGTGAATCATGGGCGGATGGAGGCCGTCTCTTATGTCTTCCACAAGGCGATTGAAATTTTAAGTTTACATTGACAGATGTCTAATTTTTTCTATCAAAAGACAATCAAAATGGAGGATGGATCAACAAAGATAATTTGAAAGACTGTCAGAAAATATCTTAATTTTGGATCTGCCCCTGTGGATAAATAATTTCAATTGCAATTTACGTTGGTTTATACTTTCATAAATCTGCATTTATCTTACAGGGTCAAACTCAGAACTTACCTTATATTCACAATTTGATCTGTTCTTCACTTATCTGACTTTTGGTTGAGCCATACTTAAACAACTGGAAAAAAAGAAACAGTTACATTAATGCTATTACCTAGCAACCATACTGTTGCTGTATTACTTTTGGAATTAATCAAGATTACATTAACGCAAATGCTATCGATTTCATTTTCCCATTAATTTTTTCAGTTATCATGCTCCTCAGTGACCCTTCAGTTATGTATATATCCTATTTGGGATTTTTGCAATTATTAACAAATTTAAAATTTTCTTACAATATAATCAATTTTCTCCTACTCAAATATATTTGCTTGACCTTTCCCTATGGAATCAATTTTAACGCCATTTCTAATTTATTCCTTTATTCTAAATAATTGACTTATCATGTCTTCCTGTACATTTCTTCTTCATTTTAAAGGTCTAAAAAAAGTACAAGTAGCTTTGCAGTATATGAATAATATGACTCGAACTGGGGCATTTTCACATGTAGACTGTATACCTTGAAATATGAATTTTCCAGATACAGTGCCAACAGGATACCATCATTTAATTTTAAAATGCCCATGAGTTTTTTGAAATGAGAGCACAGAGGCCTGGTTCTCAGTACTTAATAAAACCAGTGACTTTTGAGAATTCACGTTGCATTTTATCCAAAATATAGTTCAAAGTTATAAGTGACTGAAGTATCACAATAACCTAAAGGCTTTATATACTAGGTTATCAAACCACTCCAAATTATCCTGGATACAGAGTCATTCGTCCATGTAGATGAATTGATTAGACTGTTTTGATCTGTATTTTTTCTACTTGGTAAACTTGCCTACAATTACATGGCTTTAAATCCGGTTTGTAAGATATTGTTGCAAAAGATCATATAAAAATTCTACAAAAAATGGTGCACTGTACGGGCATCATATTTCAAATGTAATCTAGGCTTTAACATACAGCAGAAATAATCTTTTATATTGTTAATGGTATTCATCTTTTCTTATTAAGATTTTTTATTATCTCATCTTCATTAAAAAAAAAAACACCCCAAAACTTTTTTCCAAGACTGATTCAAATTTCTTTATGCATTATTTTTCTAACATTACAGAAAAACACCTCTTCTTCATATACAAAAAAACACATAGTACAACTTGGAACACCTTAAGACTTTTTTACCAAGACTGACTCAGAAATTCTTTCATTTTTTAACTGTTAACAAACACTTAACTTCGGGGGGGGGGGGATCCTGACTGTTTATACAGAGCAGCTATTTACAAAGGTTAAAAGGGGTAAATTGTGTATGTGCCAACAAAATTATCCTGTTTATAATAAAAGTGGTCAAAATATTAATTTAAGTGTTTGTATTTCATGAAATCTGATAATTATTATGCAGCAACTGTTTTGCTTCATGAAGTATACATAATATTATCAGTTGGTGTGTATTTAACATTAAAATGCCTCTGTTTACGGAATTGCTGGGTAAGTCATTAATTGTAATTTTATGAGCAGCAGCAAAGTAAGTTCATTTGTTTACAGTTACTGGATTTTTATCATTATGAAAACATTCTGAAAAGATCCCTATCAAAATGTAAACATTAATCTAACTTCTCTGCATGAAAATCCTTGGTTGTGTATTGTAAATTATATACGTACTTTCAAACTTTATCAACACAATAAAACCCACAGTGAACAATCTCCACTTACATGAATTATGCAATACCATGTAATACCCATCAGAGCACCTGTGCCTTGATTACCTGGTCTATGGCTGCTAGGATTAACACTGCAATTTCTTGCCTGGTTGGAGAAAATTTTGCTACTGATCTAAGCTGCCTTATCTATGTGGTGCATATATGCTGAAGATTTATTACACATTTTGTCATACATAGGTCTATGAACTACACAATGTACCACATTCTGAAAGCCATTATATTTTTTCTAGAAGCTTAGCCAATTTTGGAAAACACTGTGCTCCATTTAACTTTATTACACAGTCAAAACCAAACGCTTGTGACTGGTTTAAATACCTGACGTTCGACACTTACTTATAAGCTGAAATTAAATGCCCTGAGTTTAACGAATGCACAGACCAAGTCTCCCTGCATTTTATCTTGACTGATTGCTTTTAGATGTTATGCACTTTTTTTCTCAAACTTCATCTCCATACACACAAGCACATAAACACTGCAACAGCAATTTGACAAATAAAAAATGCAAACTTGCATTTGCACACAAACAACCCATATCTACAAATTCACAACATCTACCTTCATCTGCTTCACATTATGTTTTGATACAGTCCTCCGTCTTCTGCAACTGAACCAATATTTACCTGCTGCCGTCTCTGCTCCACTGCGACATGCACCCTCACACACTGCTAATCTGGGCCCAAGATAAACAGCGCCCTCATTAAACATGGAACTTCTACCGCCAGCTGCTTACATGTAATACTAAGCTATATACTGCATCCTTATTATATTGTTTGCTGTGCAGTTTAAATAAGGCTCGATTTCTATGCATTATTATTAACCTTTTTTGTTTCACTTTTTCTAACTTGCTCCATTTTTTATGTTTAGATGTTTTTTCTTCAACATATTTCCTAATGCAGTATATCCTAACTACATCGCATTATAATTGAAACATATCCCTTACTACTATATTTATATATTGTGTCCTGTACCAGTATATAATCTCTGCTCTAATTTTAGTTCCCATTTTTAAACAACGAGACTGGAAAGGCGAGTTAAGCTGAGAGTTACCTCAGCGCGTGGGCAGGACAGGTCAGGGCTGCCCAGTGATAGCGGTATGTCATCACAGACACTCTTAATTACCTGCTACAGGGAGTCTTAAATAACCAACAGTGTAACTATGTTAATTATATTGTTTATATTTGCTTCAAACAAACTAAGAATAATATAAGGTAAGGTAAGTGTAGGTATAATAGGTAAGTGATAATATCTGATGTAATTTGCACAGTTCACATTAATTTCAGGCCACATTCCCATAGATACCTTATTTCTAATTTATAATTTATAATATTGATTATTTATTCAGCTTTCCAGAGAAGTTTACCTGGGAAAAATCCTAAGGTTGGTATGTACTAGTAAGGGTTATGTCTTTATTAATAAATCATGTTAATAGAGAAATGTATCATGACTGACATTTGTCTCTTGTTTTCAAAGAAATCAAATAACTTTGTGTGATACATTACATTAATTTTCTAAGAAATTCAACTACCAGTACCTTGTCATCAGAAAATGGCCCTACAAGACAAGGTCAACTTAGGAAGACATCAGCAATGTGATCCAGATGACCCGTATCACTACATGGAAAGATGAAAACCAATTTAAAATACTGGTATCATGAATGATAAATGAGGGACACAAGCCGTTTTAAATGACTGATTGGGAGTTCATGGGCTATACCCCTCAGCTCACCTCATGTGACTTTTACTTCTGACAAGGCACCCCATGGCTATCTAATACTTGTCCAAAGGTAGTGAGAATTTTTTTAAATTTACCTTTTTATTCTTATGTGATAGATACAATATGAGTCGCCGAGCTGTACGTGAAATATTACGAGTGTATTGGAGAGCCGCAGGCGAGACAATACACGAGACTGGGCGACGAGTGTTGTATCTGACTTAAACCATGGCCTCTGATTGGCTACTACACTAGTAGTGCACCAGACCGTGGAACGCACTCGTACATGACGTGCTTGTATGTCGAATACAGCACGGCTGAGTCTTTTGTTCTATGCGCTAGCCATGGTTTAAGTTTTATTCGATAAAATTTCTTTAATTTGGGTTGGGTGCAATGAAACAGCTGGGTACTTGGAGTGGGTTGGACCCCATGCCTGACCTTACCTTTACAGCTTTTAATACATAACATAACATGGGCGGGATATGCACCATTCAACACCTAGGTGGGCAATCAGAGGAATACAAAGAGTGGTGTTCCACCTGAGCATCACTTAATTACAGACTAGAATACAGAGAGTTCTATGGTCCAAGGTGAGAGGGATAATAACTGTTCATATGAAATCCATATTTCACAATAAACGCAACTCATTGAAATATAATAAATTATATTTTACAACCAAAACGACAGTTATTGCAATTATTCTGGAAACTTTGCATGCCATCCGACCAAGCAACCTCCATAGATAGCTACCCTCTGGAATAATCCCTTAAGATTATCACAAAAACCAAACTTTTAGAAGAAAATAGGGACTCGCTTTAAATGTAGGAATGGATTTATTAGCTATTGGTAAGTAAGTACAGGAAATTGTTGTTTAATCCATTTTTTGGCCAAAATGAACAGTTGTTATCCCTTTAAGCTAGCCACCAGGGCCATGGCTAACATCTATCAAGTCTATTAACCTGTAGGTTACGTAGTTATATTTATCTTTTATACACTTACAATTTGAAACATATTTTAGCATAATCCAAAGTCTTTCCATGGCTAAATTACAATTCCTAATGATTTGTAAAATATTGATGCAAAAGATTATATATCAATTCTTTAAAAAAAAAATGGTTGATCAACATGAGAATGATTCAAGCCAAATAGCCAATGGTTTAGATTCATCATAAAAAAATAATAAATTCAACCAGCATAGACAAGCTGGGTAAAAGCAGTCTTTGTCAAAACAAGGAATTTTTCACAATGAATAGTGAAAGACTACTGTAATCAAGTGGTAATAAAATAATCAAACTGCAGTAAAATCCAAACCTACCTGCATGCACAATAATTAGATTATAGCTGTCATTCAACTCTTCAAAATTCCATAAAAATATGCAGCAGCCTGAATATGATGGTAAATGTTGAATTCTCTTTGTGTTTCAAGCTTTGTTACCCTTCACTTACCTTTTGCAGACAGAACCAAAGTTTGCAAACAGCACAAAACTTTCTGACCAGTTGCAAAGTGTCAAAATCTTTGTGGTCCAGTGGAAATTACAATTTAATAACAGTCCTAGTTATCATGGTAGATTATAAATAGTGATAATCTCAGATTATATTTCCTGTTAAGCTTTGTGTTACTGGTTTAACACCAAGACACACAATTTGGACCGTGTTTCCATTCAAGTAGAAGCTGAGCTACATAACTCAGGCCCATGCCCAGGGGGGAGAGGGTATTGGGGGGGGATGAAATGTCCTTTTTGTTTGCAAAAGGTCCGCTCAGGGTAAAAATTGATCTAGGTACATGAACACCTCATTATAAAAGGTCCATATTTTCAGAAAAATACCCCCCCCCCCCACCCCCCCCTTTGAAATTGCTGACTCCAGGCCTGTAACTTACATGTACAAACATAATGCATAATAATCGTAAATAAAATTTCTACACGCTTCCTTGAGCAGCTAGTTAATGAGTTAATTACCCCCTAGCAACCTGAAGAGATGTGTTGGACATTTATGCCGATTACAGTGATTGTACTAAGGGAGAATCTCCTGCTGAGTTGGATCAATCCATCTGTTGCGATAGGTTTACATGAACACTCCCATAGAGGCAAGAATCTACAGAAAGCTCATCTGATTTTGATGGCATGCAACTTACCTCTAGCACCATGGCAGTGAGTGAGACAACAGCTAGGTCCGGCTTCCTGTGGCCTGCTGAAATAGTAAGAACCAAGTAAGGTCAACCAGATTTCAGAAATGCCTTCACTTTTTTTTCATAACATCACTCAGGATCATTTAGATAAAAGCGACTGACTTGTGATGTCTTGCCTCAAAATATAGCACTAATACTATAATATATTAATATACTATAAATTTAAAGCATCTTTTTTTCGGCCTTTTGTTCTGTTTTTTCAAACAGGTTTTATAACTATGTTAAAGAATTCACCCATCAAAAACATCTTGACCTAAACTGATTACAATTACAATCTAAAATCTTTTTTGTACTGTGTGCACTCTGACTAATTACTGGGGTACTAGTACAAAAAGGTACAATATTTTTAGTGTAATTTTTAGAAAATGATATCTAGAAGATAGTGGTACTCATGCAATCCTACTATACTTACTAGTTCTGTTTGACTGCAGCTTTCACAACCTCAACTTTCTAGATTACGTACAAACTGGAAAATAAATATTATATACTCGACATTTAAATTGAGATACATTTTTAACTGTCAGCAGACATAGTGATTAGGATCTTTTAGAGTATCTGAGGCCTGTCTTGAAAATATTGTCAACCTGTCACCACTGTCACCAGCCCCTTTAAAAAGGTTATCACACACATAATTTTCTGGGTATATTTAGAGTGATAACTTGGATAGCCTACAGGGTAATCGTGACTTTAAGATATTGGTCTAGTTGTGTTTGACAAAGGATAGGACTAAATTAAATGTAGCTGAAATACAGCCTAAACTGGTTATTGTCCCTACAAAAGGTAAAAAATTACTGTTAAGACATCGACAATTTGCTCTAGTTGCTCGGGAAAAATACTGAAATAAAAATGAGGAAAAAGCCCTTGAAAATTTGTGAAATGTACTTTAAGGACCATTCCCAGATCCTATTGTATTAATCGTGGATCGATCTATCTCCGAGGGGATTCTCGCTAAATTGCAATCAACTTACTATAAGCGGTTTAAATGTCTGCCACGCCAACTGAAGCTGCTTGGGGGTAATTAATTATTGTTTAGCAGCTTTAGTAGGCATGCCACACAGCTAATTAGCCACTTTGCGAAAAAAACCCTCAGAGATGGATCCATCCTTTTAGATCGATTTAGGTATGGGAACCCAGTCTTAGCTGAATAAGTCCCATACTAGTCATACTACATATTTTTCCTTTACTTGTAATCATTTGGTGAAAATGCCAAAGATAAGACAAAAAAATTCAAATTTTTGTCAAAAGGTTTCACATAAACAAAAGGAATAACAAATTAAAACTAAATTTTCTGACACATTTTAAGACAACAAACCACCCACTCTCATGCACCAAGCCATATCGTATGTGTGCTCCATCAAATTTACTCGAATTTAACACATTTAATTAAAGATTTTTTAAAAATCAACATTTAGCTCTAACAAATCTGTCAAGGTTCTCCTTTAAGCCCAATTATTAATTAATCAACAGACAAAAATACATCACACATTTTCCCTTTCTAAGCTAAAATCTACCTTTCCCATCATTTTTAGATCATATATATATATATATATATATATATATATATATATATATATATATATATATATATAAAATTAACCTTAGTGTGTAAAAATATACTACCTCCTTATCTCAACTGGAATCTTATATCACTAAGTACTGTGGATATATTTATCTATAATTGAAGTGTTTCTATCCCTAGCAAGGAGGACAAACAGTCCAGGTGAGTCAGGTGAAGAAAACAAGACTGTCACCTGTCTATAAGTTTTATTATTCATGGAGGACATTTCAGTACTCCAGGTAAAAATCTGCATGTCTTCTAGACATTACATGACTAATGCTTTCTGTTTGACCTCATGTTGGCAAAATAACTTCAATATTTTTTCTACTTCATTTGCCTTACGTAATACATGAACGCATTTCTTTTTTTTACTTATTTCTCAACTAGGTCAAATGTAAAAATAAAACCTGTCAGCTGTCTAAATGTTGCTTTACTATTCAAATGGAACTGTGTAAATACTCCAGGTGAATAAAAGCCACAGCTGTCTATACTAAGCTAAGTTTGTCACCATTATTTACAAAAGAATACTAGGTATGATGCACTAGTCAAACTCAACCTGCACAACTGTCACCCCTACCTAGAGATGTGTATTCCACATGTTTTAAAATAAGAAGGATCTTCATTTCCATGAGTTACACATTTACTTTACTTTGTGTTGCTGTGGTAATCACATGATAGACATAAGAGTAAGAATTAAAGTACCGAAATTATATGTATGG